GCCGCCGCCGAACAAGCGCGGCAGAGCCGCTCAGGCGTTTCAGCGCCTGTCCCCCGCGGCGCCCCAGTGCGGGGCACGGGGTTGGGACTTGCGATCCCCACCGCCCCGTCACAATACCCAATCCGAAATTTTCAGGAGTATCCAACATGAGTGCAACTAAACTGAAAAAATTATAAAAGGTTGAAACAAATTCAACATAAATTAAAATACCACAGTATTAGTATACAGTAGAGGCAACAACTCCTCTGATCTCAAGCATTTATTGTAGAAGTCCAGGGAACACTTCATGTCTAATGTTCTAAAAGGGACAGTATGCTGCCTCATTGCTGAGCAAATTAAGACTACTTACTGTCAGTCATTCAGGAACATCAATTATACAACTAGGTTAGCTAGGAAATACTGAAATTTAAATTACTGAGTGGGAAACAGTATGCCAATAAAAACTCACAGTATGCCTATAAAAAGAAACATAATTTAGGTAGTTTTTTTAAAATGCTGATAAAATATTAGAAATACAGATATCTTAAGAACTGTTAAAATACGTATATCCTTGGTATCTAGGAAATAACAAGATCCATTGATTAAATTGGATTAAAAGAGGAATGGGTTTCCCCAACAAACTGGCTCTTTTAAAGCTTTATTGATTAATTTGATTAGATTTTGGCCTAAAATTAATTCCACACAAATGGACAAGAATCCACAGCTCTCAAGAATCCACATATAAAAACAGAGTATTATAGCAAGAGCAAAACAAAAATTAATCAAAGCAACAATATTTTTATCTCTAACTAATACATATGCTAAAATGACACCACATTTTTTTTTTAAAAAGAGATGACAATATCCCAGACAAGTGTTTCTTTTTTAGACTAGACAAATGGACAGAAAAGCGAAGTGCTTCCAGAGGTAACAAAGTAAGTATAGGATTTTGCCCTAACTACAAGATAAATTTTGACTAAAGGTGCCATCTTTCTATTACAAAAAGTCATCTAAGGATACATCTACACTACAGAGGAAGATCAAAGCTGCCACTGTCGATCTTCCAGTGGTCTAGTTAAGACAGCTAAATCAAAGTGAGAGGGGCACTCCGGTCAGTACTGGTAACCCTGCTTTCATGGGGAGTAAGAGAAGTTGAAGGAAGAGTGCTCTTCCTTCAACTTCCTGTAGTGTAGACAGCACCAAAAGTTGAGTTAAGCTACTTTGACTTCAGCTACACAATTACCTGAAGTTGTGTATTTTCATTCAAATTTGTCCCGTAGTGTAGACATACCTTATGAGAGTAACATGGCATGTATGTGAGAGAAGTAAGAGAGTGACATGATAGTCAAACAAATCTGAAGATCTTCCCACTAAAGGGACTCAGTTGTGTAAAGTGCTGAGAGATTCCTATAAATTACTGAGAATACTCAGCTCCCATCTCAAGAGATCTTTGGAACATTCAGGATAAAATGTCAGGTGAATTTTGGATGGCTGATTAAGAGTCTACTACTTGCGGGTTTTAGAAGGACAGCTGGTAATGTTATCACATGCCTTGATTCAGGAAAACTCTTAAGCACATATTTATCTTTTTAAGTATTTGCTTAAATCCCATTCAATGGAAGTTAAGCACATGCTCACAGGCTGGCATGATCAGGAATAGTTTCCTGAACTGAAGCCTGAATGATAAATCTCCAAAACATGTCAACGTTATACTGCTTCAACCTAAGAATTAAAATCAAAATAAACATAAATTACTTGTTCTTCTGGTAAGTGAGGGCTTTTTAGTTGTTGACAGACTTTTATTGGAGAGATTAGAAAAAATATTTACATTTAAGAAATATGGTGTTATGGGATTTGGACATCTCAAAAGATTCATAATGGGCTATACAGTGCTCTCTCTATAGTCTTAGTTTGCTAATTCCAATCCAGCTCAATTAACTAGTGGCTAAAAGTTGAGAAATGCTCACTGTCCTATGTGGAATGACTCTGATTCACTTACCAAAGGGCAGTTGTTTACATCACAAAAACCACCAAGGCTTGTACTAGTTATCACACTAGATCAGTGGTCCCCAACGCGGTGCCCGCAGGCGCCATGGCACCCGCCGGGGCATTTGTGTGCGCCCGCGGACAACTTGGGCCACCCCGCCCATGGGGCACACGGCGCTCGGGCAGCCCCAGCGCCGGCCCCGGCCCTGGGGCACATGCCAGCGCCGGGTGCAAGGGCATCCCCACCCCTGGCGTGCCCCAGGACGCGTGGCCCCACCCCCTGGGCGCCCGGCGCGTGAGTGGCCCCGTCCCTGGCGCCCGGGAGGCTCTAAAGGTAGGGGACCACTGCACTAGATAGTAGTTATAGCTGAGATTGACTCGGGCAGCCCCAGCGCCGGCCCCGGCCCTGGGGCACATGCCAGCGCCGGGTGCAAGGGCATCCCCACCCCTGGCGTGCCCCAGGACGCGTGGCCCCACCCCCTGGGCGCCCGGCGCGTGAGTGGCCCCGTCCCTGGCGCCCGGGAGGCTCTAAAGGTAGGGGACCACTGCACTAGATAGTAGTTATAGCTGAGATTGAGCATGGAGATGGAGCTTGTCTTTTACCCCAACAGATGGGCTTTCTTGGTTAGGATTAAGGTATACTGGCAGTAGCAGGTCATGACTGAGAAAGGTTTGCACTGGTACTGACTCTTTGCTATATTTGTTTTGAGATTTGATGACCGAGTCTCCAATTCTGCTAGTCTGGCATCTTTCATGACTACTAAAAGGTTATTAGATATTTTATTAGATATTATGGTGACTGGGGACACAAAAATTCATAAATAGATCAGATAAATCACATACACACAATGTCTGTCTTTGAAATGTCTTTAGTCTCATTTCTCCTGACATTCAGGATAGAAAAAGCGCAGATATACTGTATAAGGAATAAAGGTAAATGTCTGTAAAACACACGGTATGCATATGCTCTTCAGATACCACTGAATATTATTCTCTCTTGTATCAATGCTTTTATGCTATACAATTCAAATTCAGGTTAAATGCCATATTCCCATATTTTGTTTTTAAGTGATAAAAATTAAACATTACCTTTAATTTACTTATTTCTTTTAAAACTTCATTTCTTTCTCTTTTAAGTCTTTCCACATCATCCATTTCCAAAGAATCACAGGATACAAGCTGTGTGTAGTAAAATATGAAAGAAAAAAGAGGCAAGCAAATAGAAACTAATATTAGGTTAAATGCATCTATCACAATGCTTGATCTCTTTAACAACAGAGTCTTGTTAAAAGAAAGTCACAAGTAGAACTGATTAATTTTTATGGCTAAAACAAGTTCATAATGAAAATGCTATTTGTTTCTCCAAAATATGAGAGGTTTTCAGCAACCAAATATGAAAACTTTCAGTTTAGAACAAAAAACAAAAAAAAGTTGTTTAAAATCTAACCACTTTTAACTGACATTTTCTGACCACCTCTAGTCACAGGATTTCCTGCGATGAAAAAAATAACTTTGTTTGCTAAAATGGATTAATGAATTATCCACAAAAATTTCTGAGGAAAAAGTACCCAAAATCTATCTATTCTTCCCTCCTATTTTATTTCAGACAAAGGAATAAATTACATTCAGTATTTCTAGAACATTGGGGCCTTTCCTTCTTAAAAATTACCTATAAAATAAAATGATTCCCAAGTGCAAGAAGGTCCAAATCAATGTGCCATATAGCTGTTTATTACTCACTCTGCTGGAAGCAATCATCAGCCCCTTTAAGAAACTTCAATAAAACACTGTTATCCACTCATACTAATTCACAACATATTTATGTGAATTGCTTCCTGCAAAATAGGTTGCTTTAACAAGGCTTTTTAAAGCCTTGTTAAGAACTAGGTTACTTTAAAGAAAACCATGATAACAAAACTGTTTCAAAAATTTGTCTAAGAATTAGAATAGTTTTAAGTAAATTAACTTCTGTTAAATTTATTCTTCATAATAGATAAATAGTACTGAGCTCCAGCAGATACTTTACCTGTGAATCTAATAAATTGGCAATTTCACTGGCACCAAATGTTATACGTCTTTGGTCACCACCTGCTTCATCCAATTGCAAGCAAAACAGATTTCTTGCAACCTGAACAAAATCTAAAATAGAGTTTAGTTACTGTAGTCTGCCATCAATTTAAAAGTTTTTCCCTAGATTATGTAGGATGCTGGTCTGACATCCTAAATTATGGAGTAGCAGAAGCTCCTTTATAACACTGTTGAGCTCCTCCATTAACTTCCTGAAAGATAAAACAATCTACCCACAATTTTGTCTGCAGCTTATCTCAGCAGAGTTCTTTTGAGGAAGTTTGTTTAAAAAAAAAAATCAGAAAATGGAATTTTGAAAACCTATGCTTGGGTCTTGGTATGTGACTGAGCTGCACATAGAGCAAGTTTTGTGGGAGAAGGAGCTGAAGAAGACATAAACTACACCTTTGCTGTTCCCAATTTTAGGGATGGGTTATGCCTAGAAAGTCACTGGCTTAAATTAGGGCTACTTGCATTCATACTATACCAGCAAAGGATACTCTCACTAACCTGATGCTTCAGAGAGCAGACATGGTGACTATAGGAAATGAAGAAAGCTTCATACCATTCTGAGTTGTACATTTTTCTATGTAAGCTCCTAACTCTTGATGGGGGAGTGCACAGACAGTTACATTTTTGGGGGCCAGCTGCCTACCTGAGATAGAGTTGAAACCCCCAAATCACTGCAGTCTCAATAGCCTTTGTCTAAATTATCTTTTTAGCCAGACTGAAAAAGATAGTTCATTGCTACAATGGCTACTGGAAGCTAGAGTGTAGTCTAGTTCTGTCCAAATCATACCATGATTTGAGGTAACACCATATAAAATGTCAAGGATTTGGGAACAAAGAAAAGCCATGTAATGGTGGTCTGTCAAACTCAGAACTTGTATGGTTTTTAGATGGCTGAGGAAGGGAAAAAAACTTTCACTACAGAGAAAAAGTTTGCATAAAAACATATTTTTGTTACTTTCACCAATCTAGAAAAAACATGAATTTTCACCAAAATAAATATTGAGCTTCTTATAGTGAGTCCCATGGACTGGAAAATATGAAATAAAGAAGACACTAGAAATTCTACAATTCAGTTTCAGAGATCAAGAATTAGATAATTAATATTTAAGAAGTTTAGAGAAGAAAAATGATTAACTTCTAAGGTCTGTGATGCCTAAATTAATAGCAACTAAAATTACACTGAATGCTTCAATCTCATGCCTATTTCTTCAGAAACTGTTATATATGAAATATTATTTAGAAGTAGTTTGCAAAAATCAATTTGGTATAAAACAGATACCTTGTTTTTATTTTTCAAAGAAAGCAGTGATTTCTTAAAGATTAAGACCATTTTCATTTAAAAACCCCTCAGACTTAATAATAATACTCTACTTTTAAAGCAACATTGAAAATTCATTAGTATAAGTCAGAGCCAACTGCATTTAAAGGCTAGTGAGTGGAGACTATTCTTCATAAAGAAGAAATCAGACTTCCATTACAAATGGGTAGCTTCAGAATTACAAATTTATTGTTAAATAGAATAATCAAAATCTGACCTCACAATGGTAAATTGTTTTTCATTATATTAATAACTCACATTAATGGGAAGGTTATTGTAACTGAAAATACACAAGCTTTCTGTTTCTATCTTACATTATTTTCGAGGGCATTCTATAAATGGTTACCTCCAAAAGATACTGTCCCTTTAGAATCTTTCTGTAGTTGGTGCCTCAGGATTTGGTGCTGTTCATCTGTGGGCTGAATCCCGAGATAATTTAGTGCCTAAAAGATAAAGTTTTTGGTTTTTGTTTTTTTTTAAAGGGGGTTGGTGATTTCTGCCTTCAATGAGAAAAAAGCCTTTTCATTATATTTCTCCTTTACTAACAAGTTCTATCTTGTGTGGTCACTGTTTCGTAAACCTCAAAGACAAGACAGCTAAATAAGAAACATGAGAAAATGAGCCCTGGTGACCCCTCAGGGTAGCTGTCTTTATTAGCATGCAATATTTGTGACAGTATAATTTTTCCCTGGTCATCATATTTTGGCCCCAAAACATTAAGATTAGACTTTCACCACATTTATATTATTCTCATCATCATAGTGTCTGAGTGTTGGTTTATAAAACTATCAGAAGCTACCTGAGACTCGAGAAATTTAGAGTACACTAAGCTAATGAAGGAAAATGGGCATCACTTGCCACACTAAGGGTATGTCTAGACTACATGGCTCCGTCGACGGAGCCATGTAGATGAGTTTACTAGACATAGGAAAATGAAGTGTCGATTTAAATAATCACCACTTCATTTACATCAAAATGGCTGCCATGCTGTGCCGATCAGCTGTTTGGTGGCACAGTGGAGCAGTCCGGACGCTCCGCGGTTGACAACGGAAGCATTTGTCGACTGCTCCGGTAAACCTCATTCCACGAGGCATAACGAAGCGGTTGACAAAGGCTTCCGTTGTCGACCGCGGAGTGTCCAGACTGCCCTGCTGTGCCGCCAAACAGCTGATCGGCACAGCACAGCGGCCATTTTGATGTAAATGAAGCGGCAAATTATTTAAATCACTGCTTCAATTCCTATGTTTAGTAACCTCATCTACATGGCTCTGTCGATGGAGCCGTGTAGTCTAGACATACCCTAAGGGTCATGCTTCTAAACAAATCTCCTATTTTGACTTACTTGGACCATCAGCATGGAGAATTCTTTCATATCAAGTTTCAGCATTTAATGTCATTCCAGATTTTGTATTGTTTTCTCAAGTTACATGAAATTTGGTGCTACTATTTTCAAGTTATAGAGAATTATGAGTTTGTGCACCTCAAATTTATTTTATAAGACTGAGTTTAAAAAAATAATATATAATCTAGAACACATTACACAGGGTACAAGACAATGTTGATACCAATAATGTTTTCTTTGTAGTGCTAATGAAACTAGGGAAGACTAAACATAATGGAGTATTAAATCTTCCAGATTGTACTGAATCTTCTAAATTAATGAATGATAAAATATTATAGTTTAAAGTAATTTCTTCAAAACTTTTGAAAATTGCACGCAAAGATGTTTATCATCATAAATCACTTAGGGCTCATCTAGACTATGCCGAAGTGACGAAAGAGGATATACAAATTCCGTGGGAATTTGCATGTCTTCTTCCGATAAATTCGGCATAGTCTAGATGAACCCGTACAATCTTCCTGTGCAGAAGATGAATATTCCATCCTTTGGGCCATTTAAAAGTAAACCAGACCCTCCCCCCTTCCCCCCCACACAAAAAAAGAGTGAGAAATAGGGAACACTTCTGCAGTGGCAGAGACATGAACCAGAGGACTCCGTCTTTACCATCTATCACTCACTTGATGATTCGGCATAGTCTAGATGAACCCGTACAATCTTCCTGTGCAGAAGATGAATATTCCATCCTTTGGGCCATTTAAAAGTAAACCAGACCCTCCCCCCTTCCCCCCCACACAAAAAAAGAGTGAGAAATAGGGAACACTTCTGCAGTGGCAGAGACATGAACCAGAGGACTCCGTCTTTACCATCTATCACTCACTTGATGATTTTAATTGTCTCCTGGCTGATCACCAGACACATTTCACTGTTTAGCTACATTTCCTTCAACTCGCAACTAGATCCTCTTGCTCCAATGATCTCAGTATTATTTAAGTTAAAATAATGCTAATACTGCAGACTTCTGTATTGCATTGTCTCACCATGGAAAGGAATAAATTGAACTTCTTAGAATGCAGTCTAACATTCTCAAATGAACTGCGTAATTGGAAGATATTTTTGTTACTTTGAACTCCATTCCTTATCCTTAACTTCTTTATTGATGCCTTTTTCTTATTATCAAAACAAGAAACAAATAAAAATGTTGGTAAAAATATGCTCGTTTGCTGTTATTTCATTCTGAAACATGCTATGTCATACAAGAAAAATAAAAATGACAGAACAAATGACAGTGTTAGAGAAAGTGAAAGAATCAGTTTAACTATGTTTTGCATCTTTCAGCAATTTAAATATGATCTGCCCTTCTATACTACTACTGTGCATCTTATTTCCTTCTACATCTCTCTCCTCTTTTTTCTATTTTTCCCACATAAATCTTCTTTAGAAGGTTACATCTTTGATAGGCTCAATTTCTTTGGCTCATTTAATCTTCTCTTACTCATCATATCTCCATGCACCTTGTGAGTATCTCAATATTTCTCTCCTTAAATTTTTGCTCCTTCTTTTTTTTTAATTAAAAAAAGACTTTGTTTGCATTTTTTTCTATTTACGAGCCTTTGACACTTTGTTCTTTCCTCTGTAGCTATTTTTAATTAATTATTTAATTATTTGCTCAGCAAGTAAAGTCAAATATTGATACAACATCTGAAAGATCTACATTTGGGAAACAATCTTTTCTTTTAACCTATTTATGTAGTAGTCCTGCTAGACACTTTCTTTAGATATTTTAAACTCACTGATCTTGGAAAAAATAGAAAACAAAACTAAGCACTATTTACCATCTCTAGTTTCTCTGATTTGAGACGAACAGTGGGGCTCAGAGAAAACTTCCTTTCTTGAGGTCCATAATCATCAGTCCAGTTGGAAGCAACAGCTAAGAGACAACAGATTGTATGTTAATTTGAACTTTTCCCTCTGAAGAATGCGTTCTGAAGTCCTGCTGTTCAAAATAATTCCAGCTAATCACCTGATTGCCAGAATGAACACTAATGTTCATTATAACTTTTTTTCTTAAATGCTAAAAAGGTACATTACTAAAATATTCATTAAATACCCAAAAAAGGAAATATAGACACTGTTAAGCCATTTTATAACTATCCCTCAAAATGCAAGGAAAGACGAACAGAAGTAAGTAGCATGAGATCATCTCATAACAGAAACACATGGCTTATACTTAGAAACAGGTGGGGAAAACATTTATGAATTAACAAACAAAAAAATCCTCAGAGATGTGACTCATGTTTTAGTTTTTCTACAACTGTCAATACCAGGTGTTCAACCTAAGGAATTGGACAGTCCTAATATTCTCTGAGGATATACAAGATACTGTGTCAAGAGGAGGGCTTATGTCTTGCCACTGAGGAGCAGAGCTCAATTAATAATCTTGCCTGGAGTGAATCCATCTGTCTTCTCCTGTTGCCTAGTGGGAATGGGAAACTCCCCTTCTCCAGGGACTGTGTTCCCACAGTGCCCCACCTCCCTGGCCCCTACTTTCAGATAAGAGGGAAACAATTTTCCATAATTTAAACAATATATGAATACATTACGATTCTGGTGCTATTGTTTAGTTTCCCTGGCATGCAAATTATAAACGCTGGCAAAAGTGAGTCCAATATTATTAGTAGCCAACACAGATTTCATAGTTATTGCTACAGTTTTATTTTGCAGGGAAAACTGAGGAAAAAATCAACCATAGCTTTGGCAGAGTATTCTTCCTTTCTCAGTCTGATGGGAGAAACACCTTAGCACACTATGAAAATAGCAGTAGACTCTTGAGGGCCGTTCACCACCAACTATACGCAGAGCAGAAAACTTGTAGCTTCACTTAGCTTTTAGATGAATTAATATTTTATTTTAAATAGAACAAACAATAAAGCACCATCTGAGTTTTTGCAAAGGGCCATGAACAAAGAGGGACATGCTATGGACAGGATCATTAAAGTGAAGTTATTACATTTCCTAATTTAGAAAGGCGTCCAAAACACTTATTAAAAGGCCTGAAATTCTAAGGAACAATCACACACATTAACTATGGTGTTCTTAATTGGTTCCGATCCTATTTTATTATTTCATCGAGGAGACAGAGAAGGGCTCCAACCAAAATCTGCATCTGACTCAGAACTCTGCAGCTTGGAACCATCTTCAAAACACAGAGTAGAAACAAAAGAAAACACAAAACAAAGCTGGATTTCATAATTCACAAAACATCTGTGTCCAATCTCAAACTAATTTATATTCTCCCTATATTCAGGATGTAAAACAAAATATCTTTTTGGAATCCTGTAACACTAATAGTGCTGGCATGCTGTATTCAATTCTAAAGACAGCAAGCCACGACTAGCTAACTCCCCTGAAGTCACTGTGTGGATACTAAGCTCACAAAACTACTGAATCATGGATTTTATGCATGAATTTTTTCAAGCACTTCTTAAAGTTATGCTGATTTTTTTCTTAATCATAGCAATTTTTTATTCAATTCTTGAATGTTTATCTCCCATTAGCCTTGAAGAAGAGGTGTATGACAGAAGAAGCAGTTTCAGGCAAGGGCATGTTGTCAAATGGTAAGATCCCTTATTCCTACTTGAAAGTAGGGTTTATTTTCCGCAAGATCCCGTCTAGACTGGCGCTTTTCTCCAGCAAAACCCCGAGCCAGAAAAAAGCGGCAGCCATGTTCATGCAAATGCCGTGGGGGATATTTAAATCCCCCGCGGCATTTGCAATTCCGAAGTGTCTCATTAGCATCCCTTTTCCGGAAAAGGGTGACAATGTAGACACAGCCTTGTATTTTACTGACTACATCTGAGCTAATCCAAATAATTCAATTCTGTTTGTGGACTGAAGTCAACCAAGTTTCACCAGCTGAGAATCTGCCCCTCACTGAACTGCACACTAGAGAGCCACAAGGTGGGTGAGGAAATACCTTTTATCAAACCAATTTCTGCTGGGGAGAGGACAAGCTCACACAGGGATATACTTCCATGAAGAAGCTCTTTGTAAACTCAAAAGCTTGTTTCTCTCACCAGCAGGAGCTGATTCAATAAAATATCCCAGAAGCAACATGACTACAACTGAACTGCAAGTGCCAATACTGAAGAATGGGCACTTAGACCCATAATTACTCTTTATGCTCACTAAACTAAACCCTTGAGAGGGCTGCATTTCACCACCTTCTTCCCCTCACTGTCCCCTGTAGTATATGAATGGGGTAGAAGGAAGATGATTCCCAGATTTGTTATACCACATATGTCCAAAATCTTTAACTGTGATCAAAACAGATGTAGGGCCATACTCTTTTGAGCAGGGAGAGAAGTGGGATATTTTCATCCCCATTAAGACCACAACACTTTATTTTGTCTCTTGCATAGATTCCTTATTTAAAAAACGCATTGGTTTGAGAAGAGTCTGTGTCGGGAAAAGAAGAATGGAAGTGGTTCAGCTCATATGGCCTCCTCTCCTTTTAGCTAAACGAAAAGCCCTAAACGGTAGGTCAGAGTATCCTTTGTCTTGCAATGCTTCTGATCTAATCTAGTCATGTAGTTTTCATGGACAGTATGACTGAGAGGTCTGATTATTTAATTCAAGCTGTATGAAATACTGTGATCCCTCCAGTTGCAAAAATTGATATTCAGCCAGTTAGCCCCTAAGAGAATGTCTCTACTTATGCAAAGTTGATCAAGATACCAATCAGAGTCCTTCATTTGGAATTAAGATAGCTACTACAGGCCAAGTGCACTTTAGATACAGGCTACTACAGGCCAAGTGCACTTTAGATACAGTCAGTAGAGTGACACTATGGTCCTCTGTGTTGGTCCTTTCCTCTCTTGACAAATGAGACTGGCATTTTTAGTCATGTCATGTAGACTGATCAATTAGAGAGGTAGATGTAATGGACACACTGCCTCCATTTGTACCAAGGGAATGGGTAAGAGGCAGTGTTCCCTGTAAGCTGAGCACTTGGGAGATCAGAGATTCAGGTGCTGCCCAGCTGATTAGCAGAGTGCCCACAGCTGCTCACAGTGTACAGCATAGCATGTGTTTCTATTGGTGGTGCACATCTGCACATTCCTCAGTACACGTAACAAAATGTATTCTACCCAAGGATGGGAACACTTAGGGTACGTCTAGACTACATGCCTCTGGCGACAGAGGCATGTAGATTAGGCTACCGGACATAGTAAAATGAAGCGGCGATTTAAAGAATCCCCGCTTCATTTAAATTTACAGGGCTGCCGCGCTGAGCCGACAAACAGCTAATCAGCTGTTTGTCGGCTAAGCGCGATAGTCTGGATGCTCCCCTGCAGACATCAAAGGTATTTGTCGACCACCCAGGTATGCCTCCTGGGATGAGGTTTACCAGTCGCCAGAGGCATGTAGTCTAGACGTACCCTTAGAGGGAACCTTGGTAAAAGGGCTGTATGTCTACTGCCTAGTATTACAGAGAGTACAACAATTAGCATACTTAACACCAGTTTAAATACTATGCAGTTAATCTCATTGTGAGATTTATCACCATTGAGTCACATCTGGTTGTTGTACAAGATCAGATCTCCACATTTTTTTCCTTAAGCGCCTCCAAAATATATATATCTAGAGATATGATTAGTTTGGTTATCACCTTTAAACATTACAGCTCTGAAATACAGACAGAAAATGCCACAGCAGTATTTTAAGTAAAAACAGTTTATTAAAAGAGCCTCTACATAACTGAAAGAACATACAAGACACTTTAACAATTATTTCTGTTCCTAATTTTTTTTTAAATCTGCCCTCCATTAAAAATAAAAAGTACAAGCAATGTTCGTCTATTGCATTTTATCAAACTGGGAAAGCACTGTTCCTGTAGCAACCTAGTCTTGATTTATATGAAAGTCCTCATTATCTGGTTTCAAATGAATCTATTGATTACTAGTGCTGTACTGAAATGCCATAATCATTCACGTTTGTTTAGTTTCAACTATTTGTCCTAGAAACTGTCCAACATAAATTATATTTGACAGGGGTTGTTGAACAATCCACCCCATTTAGCCTTTTATTCACTGCTAGTAAAATGGCCCATCTACCTTCCCCCCACACCGCCAAAGCCTAGTAAGTCACACTGTGTACTACTTTCTGTGGAAGAGTAATTGCAAAAAAAAAAAAAAAAAAAAAAATAGAGGAAAAAAGAATTAAATAATCGTTTACCAGTGGCAGACACATCAGCAGGGCTGCTGTCTGTAGAAGTAATTGGAGATTTGTCTCTCTTCTTGAATTTAGTTTTAATCTATGAAAGAAAATCACAAGTCATGAAATGACATTTACTAAAGTAGGTCAAACACCAGTCTAGAAACACATGTCAACCTTTAAAAAAATGGGGGACTGGGTAGATTAAAATAATACTGGAAGAACACTGAAGCCAAAAAACTGTGTTACATTCAAACTCTGACAGGCACCATAAAAAACAATGACATTCAGAAGATAATGCTATGTTGTATATCTACTGTGCCTTTGTATATGGTACAATTTTAAAAAAATTAACTGAACCCAACGTAAATATGCTCTGTCTGAAGCATATCCCACATTGACAATTTTATGGCTTTTAAATTAAATTAGAGTTATTTTTCAATTCAGAAAGCATGTGTGATTTTTATTATGTAGACATTTTAATAGAGAGCCCATAAATGGGACATTTTATTAGAAACGTATTATGGATTATTACTGATGAGGTTTATACTAAAAGTATCAAGCCTAGTACTGAAATAGAAAAGGGAGACTTTGCCATATATTTAATAGGGTGCAGTATGCTGTAAATCATGTAATGTATGAGAAAAATTTCTATACCGTGGAAGCACTTGCTCTGGTTTTTTACAGGACTTGTTTTCCCCTCATCTTGTTTTCCTCACATGCATTTCAGGGCTAGTGATAACTGCATAAGTGACTGCCTTTCATTGTCTATCTACTGTTTTGCCTCTTTGCCAGTCAGCAGATAGATGTAACAGTTTATGTGACATGGTACAGGGAACTTGACCAAGTAATTAAGCATATCAAATATCAGCAGGTCATTAGGGACCACAGTAGAACTTGACCTGGTAAGCTATACAGGTTGAACCTCTCTAGTCCAGCACTCTCTGGACTGGCAATATCTATGGTCCAGCATGGTTTTAGTTAGCCAGATGTTTATTTACCACAGGTGTGGCAGAGTTTCCTGTGGTCTCAACATTCGTACACAGTAACCAGTCCTGGCTCTTAGTGTTCTGTGCTGTTATTTAGCTCTAATTCACCCCAAACGTCTTTTAAGCACATTAAGCAGTGGAAGTGTTGGTAATGCTGGTAAACAATAATGACCTCCCATGGTCCAGCAAATTCTGTGGTTTAGCACCCGTCAGGTTCTGAAGATGCGGACTAAAAAGGTTCAGCCTGTATTTGGAACCCTTTGGCAGAGCCATAACATTACACAAACAAGGCTACACCCTATATAGGATGTTTCTGTAAAGGAATACATAGGCATATATTTCAAATATGGACAGTGGGGAATCATCTCTTGACTACATAGTCTACAAAATAACTTTATAATTGCAACTTATATTATTATAATAATAAATTATTATAAATTATTAATTGCAAAGAGAATATTTTGTTCACTTCTAAATAGAATGATAAATGACATATATTTAAAAAAACCAGAAAGCAAAGGATAGTTCTAAAACAGTCATTTTCCTCTCGTTTTCAAAACTTCCACACCATTGCCACTAAAATAGTTTTGTTTGCACTAAAGATGTGCTACATTAATTAAAACATTTGTTTATATTTTCTCTTCAGGGTGATAAAACAACATCTCAAGAACTGTGAGTTCCACACAAAGGTTTACAGTTGTCTATATCCCCTCTCTAAACTCTATTATTATATAAAGGCATAAAAATCTACTATTTTAGAAACCAGTTTCTTTATTGAAGGAACTTGTCAACAGTCTCCAAAAACAAGGGAGAGAAACACATTTCACACAGCAAAGAAACGTTCACTAATACAAGTTAGTGCTCAGTTTCATACTAGCAAGTTATGCAGATATACTATATACCAGAATGGATACATGTAAATAAAGCAAATAGTCACAGATAGCTGGCATGCCAGCAAGGAATAAGGTTTGAAATCTAAAGGGAGAGAGTTGCTAAGGACTGCCAAGTTTCCATGTGTTATCTGGTTTACCACTACACAATGTTTCAGCAGCTAAAATCAGATGGGAGTCTCTTGCTCTCAGTTATCAGTTAAATATTGCATGATCAGTGGAAAGATATTCTCAGCTGAGAGTTCCCCACAGTGGAATTCAACCCTCCACCTACGAGGTTTGCTGGAGCCCAAGAGCTGCATTAGCCTAAATGCTTTTTTATGTGGTTTAGGGGTTTTTTGGCTTTGTTTTGGTGAGGCGTACAGAGCTTGTTTCCTGTTTGATTTTAATCCTGACAAAAATGACAATGTTTCTGATTTCAATAACTGTAGACAGCCTCTTGTAATTCTCATTTGTCAGTTTAAGCTGATAAACTTGTTTGTGGTAATAAGCACTCCAAAAAATCTTTTAATAATAGTTTATACTTCACTCTTCACTAATATTCAAAATCTCCTCCATACTCGAAACATAACATGGAAATAGTAAGGTATTTTTAAAAGAAGAATTTCACAACATAGGATCATAGTTAAGACTGAACTGAGAGGTCAGATAACCAATCAATTAATGACTTCAGTTGGCGAGTACTGCTGATTCCAGATACATCTTACACATCTACCAGAAACCTCTGAATATCCCACAAAACTGTATGCTTTGAGGTGTCAAAAAATTTACTGGAATAGTAAAAATATGCCATTAATCTAACACTGAAATATGGGGGAAAAGGTGCAACAAGATTTCTTTAATTTAGAAAATTAATCTCTTACTTAGTTTGTCTTAAAACAAGAGACAAAACTCACAGTGTAAGGTGTGGACATCTTTGGAGTGGGATTCTCCTTAGGACGTGAAAGACAATTAAATGCTAGTAGCGGCTGTTGCTGTCCACACCCAGCAGAAGATGTCAAGAGACTGCAAGGACTTTGAGGATTTTCTGAGTAAGTGGGAAAAACTCTTTGTCTGATAAAAGCAATCTCCCAGGCAGATTCAGATCTAAATTTAAAAATAAATGTTTTACATATGTTATATGCCACACTGTTCACAAAACGATAAACCAAATTCTACTTTTCCAGGCCTCATGGGCAGGGCCAGGTTAACTCATCTGGGGACCCAGGGCCATTAGACTAAGGAGCCTCCTAGGCTCTGGGATGGGGCAAAAATGAGGGGTTCAATGTGCAAAAAGGGGTTGTGTCAGGAGGGTGAATGCAGGAGCGGGTGAGGGCTCCAACTGTGGGTGCAGGTCCTGGAGTGGGGCTGGCAATGAGTCATTTGGGGTGCAAGTGGGAGGGGGCTCCAAGCTAGGATCAAGGGTTTTGGAGTGCAGGAACAGGCTCAGGGCAGAAAGTTGGGGTAGAGCTGTGTGGTCTAGGAGTGAGTTAAGATGAAGGAGGGGGCTCAGGATTGGGGTGTGGGGCCTGGGAAGAAGTTAGTGTTTGTGGGGGAGCTCAGAGCTAGAGCTGGGGGTTTGGATGCAGGGTGCATATCTTGTGCAGTTATAGCTCCCCTTTGTTGATGGTGGGGAACAGGTGGCTCAGTGTGGCCTATGTTGCTTTGTGCTCACCAACAGGCACCCCCCCACAGCTCCCATTAACCGTGATTTCTGGCCAATGGGAGTTGCAGGGGCAGAACTTCCAGGCATGTGCAGCGCAGAGATAGAGCCTCCCAGTGCTCAGACTTGGCTCCAGCCCAGAGATCTGGGGGAGGGACAAGAAATGGCAGCATACTGAGCCATTTCACCCCTTCCCCACCAGGAAGGGCTGGCCCAGAACACTGGGACTTTAGTGGCTGCAGCCCAATGTCTCAGGCTGAGTGGGCCCTCATAAGCTTGGGGCCCTGGGTTGCAGCCTCTACAGCCCCTTTCTTAATTCGGTCCTGCACGAGGAGTGAGAATGTTTTTGATACTTGTTTTTATTTCATTCCTCATTATCATCTGTTATGAAGGTACAGGACAGGTGAGTAGATTTTGTGTCTCAACTAGGAAATTTTCTGAACAATGTTGTATCACTTTGATTAGTAACATATTTGAGTTTGTTTCCTGTAACATGAGTATTTAATATTTCAGAAGCATGAATATATCTTCTCCTTCTTCAAACATGGTTGAAAAAGAAAACTTATACAAGATTTCACTTCGTGGTTTAGCTGTTGTAGTACAATAATTACCTAAGCTTTGCTCTGTTGATTATACTTTTTGCTTCTTCATAGGAGACACCAATCATTGATTCCTTGTTTATGGATACAATTTGGTCTCCAGGCTTCAGTCGTCCATCCTAATCAGTAACAATAAAGAATCCAAGTGTGACATTCTGTATTGATTGTGGATGAAAATGCAGTTAGAAAGTTCTTTCAAATGCAACAGTTTGACATGTACTTTTGAACTCATGGGTTTAAGAAACAGTCAAGGCTGCCCAGACTTTCTAATTGGACGAATGGCTAATATCTGTGAGTTAGAAGTTTCCATTAGTAATATGCATGTTTTATGCTGCTGTTTAGTAGAATAAGTATGTAATAGAAGAATGTTATATGTGCTAGATTTCAAAAGGCACAAAAAAAACCCAATTATGAATGCTACATTCAACACTTTGGTTTTATAAATTAGTATCAAATATTGAAAAATTGTTATCATCTAGAAAAGCTATAGATGCACTATCGTAACTGCTTTAAGGGAAAAATATGATGACCAATTTTCCAGCCACCAAAATATACAATATTCATCTTAATAAATGCTATATTATTAATTGCCTGACAAATCACAGACGCATAGAAATGAAAGATTTGATGTCATTTTGTCCAGTCCTGCCTCAGTTCAGGGGACTAAGTATTAACTAGACCAGAGAGAGACAAACTACAGCCCATGGTCCGTATCCATCCTACTAGCTGTTTTAATCTGCCCCCTCCCATGCTCCCATTGAGGAGCAGATTCTGCGGCTTGCCCTGCTCCAAGTAGCTCTTGGAAGCAGAGGCATGTCCCCTGCCCGGCCAGCTCCTACACAGCAGTGCGATCAGGTGGCTCTGTGTGCTGCTCCCCTGCCCCAAGAACTACCCGTGCAGTATGCAGCCAATGGGAGCCATAGGGATGGCACCTGCGAATGATGGGGAGGCCCAGCACAAAAAGCTGCCTGCTCACCTTCTATATAGGAACTGGTTGGAAGGGGGACATGCCACTATTTCTAGGAGCTGCTTGAGGAGGTAAGCAGTCTGAAGCCTGCACCCTCTGAGTCTTTACCCACCCTACCCCAATCTCATGCCCCAGCCATGATTCCCCCTTCCACTCCCGAATTCGCTCAGTCCCCGCCCAAAGCCCCCTCCTATACCCAAACCCCTTATCCCCATCCCCATCTTTTTCAGTTGTGAGGGATCTCCACCCCATTCTGTCCTATTTCTGTGTCTGTGCTCAGGCTCTTTGGCTTTGCTATCATGTAAGTAAAACAGAGGAGAACATAGCTACTATATGTCTGGTTTCCATGACAGCTTGAGTGAGCAGGAGAACCTCAGTCACTCATTTGGTTAGCCTTTTACTTAACATTGAAATAAATAAAACAATGACTAAGGACTCTGACACACAATACTGAAATTCAATTGGTTGGTTAGCACTTCTTCACAACACTAGAATTAAATTGTGTTTCACCAATCTATTATTCTATCCTGCCATTTTCCTCTCTCTGGGTAGACCCCTTTTATGGCCACAGATTCCCACTACAAAACAACATGACTCCCATAAGGCAGACTGCTCTCTGAATGAATGGAACAAGTTGTAGAGTTAGAATCCTAACCTAGCAGGTACTGCAACAGAGATTATATCAAAGTCCAATGACTTGAACTTTTACAATAAAATCTCAGATATGGAATGAACACATCTGTCTATCACAGGTGTTAAAGGAATTTAACATTGCAAAATGCAAATTAAGGAAATATTGCTGACAAAGAATCCATCTCTGAATTGAAATTCCTCAGTTGAAATCGTTCAGTTTCCACGGTGATCAGAGTCAGTATAAAATCTCTGATACAATAAAAAATGTCAGTGGCATTACAACAGAAATGAACTTGCTGTAAGTTGGAATACCAACATCTCTGACTATGGGAAGTTTTTCTGCCAGTTAATTAATCTCTAAACTGGATTAAATTTTTATTCAAAGAGCCCAACCTTCAGAGATACTCCAGATACTTTTCAGGCACCCCTGAATCAGAGTCATCTGAACAAGGGAGGAAAGACTGAAACTTCATCAGTGAAAGCAGAAGAGAATTGCAGAAATAAGAAGGAAAATTTTTTTTTTTGCAGTTTTGTAGCCATATTAGTGAGAAATAAGGTGGGTAAAATAATATCTTTTATTGGACCAATTTGTGTTGGTGAGAGACAAGCTTTTGAGTTGCACAGAGCTCTTCTTCAGGTCTGGAAAAGGTACTCAAGAGTGTCACAACCAGTACAAGCTGGAACAGATTGTTTAGCATAAGTAGTTAACACCGTGATGTCCAATCAGTTCTGAATAGTGGCTACTGCTAAAGTGAATTAGTTACACTCAACCGGCCAAATATCCAGACTCAAATGGCCAAATAGCCATATGTGGCTAATGGCTGTATGTTGGATACCACAGAGTTAACACATACTCTACTAAAGGACCTTTTAAACTGAAGTGACCCGTTGACACATCTGGAAAAAGGGGATTAGTGGGTTACAGTCTTATAAGAAGACATAAATCCAGTGTCTTTATTAAGCCTACAATTTTTAGTTTCTGTCAAAATTACGAATTAAAGTTCCCAGGCTTGTCATTTTAAGGTAAAGATTTCTATCATGGAAGTGGCACCTAACTATACCAAGAGAACCTGCTTCAATTTATTGTGTGTATGGGAAACTCTCCACCCACCCACCCTATTTGTCGCCTATTATCCCACACTGAAATCCATACAGGGTATCATTTAACAACAACCACCCATATTTGATGGGGACTACCCCTTGCAAGAAATCTTTCCCAACTCCCTCTTTTGGCCTTCAAACACCCCCTCCGCAACCTCTCCAAGCTCATAATCAGAAGCAGGCTCCTCAAGACCACAATACACTAACTTAAAGGAACACCAAAGTCTGCCTGAACAACAGAGACAAAACCTGTAGATGTAGACCACTACAATGATCAATACCTCTCACAACACACTTTTCAAGATCCATAGGTCCTAAACACATGCATATCACAACATGGGGCATACTGCACCCAGTACACTTAATGTCCCAATAAAAACTATATTGGTGAAACAGCCAGACAATCACCGTGCTCTTGAATGAGCCCTCACAAAATGATGAAAGACAAAAAAAATCACCTGTTAGTGAACACTGTTCACAAAGCCATCACTCCCCTATCTGATCTCTCAAAGTCCTCATGCTCAAAGGAAACCTGCTCAAGACCTTCAAAAGATGAACTTGGGAACTTAAATTCATTCCTTTGCCAGATGCTGAAAAAATCACAGTCTTAATAAAGACACCGGATGTATGAATTATTGCAAAAAATCTCTAACCCATTATCTCTGCTTTTTTGGTCCATTACTGAAGAGATGCTAATGAGCCTCCTCACCTTGAACCCTCCCTTGGAATATGTGTTAACTAGTTACGCTAAACAATCTCTTCTGCCTAGTATTTAATTGTGACATGGAGGGCACGTCTCCGCTACATATTTTCATCAGTATAGCTTCACCTATGCAGCTTTAGCTGGTCTAGTGAAGATGCTCTTAGCCAATGGAAAGAGCCACCTCTGCAACAGGTGGTCACTAGCTCGGTGGGAGAAGCAGATTGATTTGCAGCATTCTGTAAACACACATACATACCACTTCTGTTACAGATGGCTATGAGACAACACTTTAAGTAGGGGAGCCTGTAGTCTCATTTACACTGAAGTCCCCTAACTCTCTTCTAGCTATGTAAATGAGATTTAGAATGGGTATAATCACAGTATAATAGAGAATTCAGGTTATTAATCATTCTGTATATAGCTTAAGGTCAAAGATTTTAGAAATCTATACTTCACCAATATATGATACAGAAATAAAATCATTCAAGGTGAACCTGTGTTTCTGGACCTGTACATAATTAATTACATAGACACTTTGGATCATTCTTTTTTTCATAGTTCATAAAAAAAATCCCCAGTAAAATGCAATTTTGGAAAATATCATTAGTAACCCTAAATATGCTCCAGGAGAAAGAACAAATATATAAAAGTTTATAACACTTTATATTTTCACCTCAATTTTATAACTTATATTTTATTGTTTAATGCTTGTTTTTAACCAAAGGAAACAACTTACTTTTTATTTGCCTCTGGTACCCAAAAATACAAATTACAATGCTGCCCTCTGGGGACTCAGATGACAAACATCACATTTTGAATTTTAAATTGAAAAATTTCAAGATTAGAATTTAAATAAATACTTACACAGGTGTTTGGTAGCTATAAAAATAAGACTGAATGAAAGTAAAAATCATTGCTATTCATGAAGAAGCAGTTTTAAGGAAGCATTCCAATTTGCTCCTGATCTTCAGTCTGGCTTTAATCTATCCTTCCTACAAATCCATGGTCACAAATAAGCACAGGCAGAGTTTTGTGGGCACAAATCACTATAAGTGCAATGAATGTTTTTAAGCATTCATGCCTTGCTTTTCAGGCACAATCAATAATTTATATGTTAAAATAACCACTATTCTATGAAATGCTGTTGTAGTTGTGTCAGTCCCAGCATATTAGAAATAAAAGATGGGTGAAATATCTTTTATTGTACCAACTTCAGCTAGGGCGAGACAAGCTTCTAACACAGAGTTCTTCTTCTGGAGTGGGAAACTTAATGACTCTTCATTCTTGAAGGAAACCTGCACAACATTTTCAAAAGGTGAGCCTATAATCTGAAATTCATAACTTTGCTAGACACTAAAAATCATGGACCGAACAGAGATACTGTATTTATGAATTATTACAACAATCTATAACCTACTAAAAACCTTCCCCCCAACTGCTTCCCTCACCAACTTCTGTTCTTCCAATGACTGGAAGGGTATTTCTCTTGAATGCTCCCTTGAAATATGTGTGTACTACTTATGCCAAACAATCTGTTCCACTTGGTATTTAATTGTGATACTCCGATTAAGGTCACATCTAGACTACAAAATGAAGTTGACAATCTATATTGGCATAAAGCCATCACTTGTATGCGTCTACACTTGACTCTTCACCAGGAGCGTTTGTATCGACCATACTGTCAGCATGGGGCATTGCAGGACAGCTGTTTAGAGCCAGTAAGCAGTGCAGAGTCTACACTGACACTGCATTGACATCAATCTATGCTGCTTGTGGAGATGGACTGGTTCATTAATAATGGCAATCAGTCACAATGGTGATGAGTGTAGGATGGTTAAAAGGGCCATCCTGCTGATACAAAATGGCATAGGAAATGGGAGAAGAAAAAGAAATTCAAAAGTTTATACGTATGTCCTCCACCTCATATGTAGCTGGCTGAGATCCTGACTACCAGGCAATCCCAATTTTAACCTTGTTCACCAACCAGCCTCAATCATACAACTACGGCATGCCAGTAGGAACAAGAATTGGATTCCTTCCCTAGCTTTCTCCTGAGTGCCCTGTAAACCCTCTGACTACCAAATAGATAAATGGAAGAGAGGAGGGAAA